GAATCTCTCTCCTCCCTCAAGTCAAAAAGTCGACACACCTGGGAACTTTGAGTGGCCAAACTACCCCAGGTTGCCTAAGTCAAGTCTCTTTCCTCCATTTCATCCCTGACCCTTTGGGTCAACCCTGTTTGAAAATGACAGCCTTTGCTGATCTCTACATACTGGTCTGCCAGGGAAGGACCTGTGGTCCCCAGCTCTGTTCAGAATCCCCCGTCTCCCTTGGCCAAAATATCTGGCATCTACCAATGGGGCTGTGGCACGAGGGTGTGAATCTCAGGAAAGGAATCTGAGTCACCTGGGCCTGCAGCCCTGGTACTCAGAACAGAGGTTCTCCAAATTTAATACGCTTCAGAATCACACCGAGGGCTTGTTAAAACACAGTTGCTGGGCCCAGAGTTTCTGATTCAGTCTAGGGTGGGGCTCAAAGATGTGCATTTCAAACAAGTTCCCAGGTGATAGGTATGCGCCTGATCCAAGGCCGCATTTGAGAAGCCCTGCTCTAGAAAAGGCTCTGTAAGTGGCTCTCACGCTGGCGTGGTGACTCACGCACGTAGTCCCAGCTCCTTGGGAGGCTGAGGTAGGAGAATCACTTGAATCTGGGAGGTGGAGGTTGCAGTGAGCCGAGATGGCGCCACTGCTCTCCAGCCTGGGAGACAGACACACACATACACACACACACACAAATTTCTCATGTCTGGCTCCCACCTCGTGATTGTTTTAGTTGGTCTAGTGCAAGCCTGGCTATCTGGACTTCATTTTTTTTTTTTTTTTTTTTGAGACGTAGTCTTGCTCTGTCACCCAGGCTGGAGTGCAGTGGCACGATCTCGGCTCACTGCAACCTCCACCTCTCGAGTTCAAGCAATTCTCGTGCCTCAGGTTCCCGAGTAGCTGGGATTACAAGTGTGTGCCATCACGCCCAGCTAATTTTTGTATTTTTAGTGGACATGGGGTTTCGCCATGTTGGCCAGGCTGGTCTCGAACTCCTCCTGGCCTCAGGTGATCCGCCTGCCTTGGCCTCCCAAAGTGCTGGGATTACAGGCGTGAGCCACTGCTCCCGGCCTACCTGAGGAACTTTTTTAAAAAATTGCAGGCCCGGCCGGGCACAGTGGCTCACGCCTGTAATCCCAGCACTTTGGGAGGCCGAGGCAGGCGGATCACCTGAGGCCAGGAGTTCGAGACCAGCCTGGTCAACATGGTGAAACCCCCACTCTACTAAAAATACAAAAATTAGTCGGGCACGGTGGCGGGCGCCTGTAATCCCAGCTACTCAGGAGGCTGAGGCGGGAGAATAACTTGAACCCAGGAGGCGGGGCTTGCAGTGAGCCTAGATTGTGTCATTGCACTCCAGCCTCGGGGACAAGAGCAAGACTTCGTCTCAACACCACCACCACCAACAAAAATAACAACAAAAAGTTCCTCAGGTGACTGTGATGTGCAGCCAAGTTTGAAAGTCATCACTCTGGATCATTGGTGGGCAAAGTGTGAACTGTGGACCGTGTGCATCACTGGGGCACTTGTTAGAAAAGCAGAATTTGCATTTTAACACATTCCTAGGTGATTCCGGAGGAGTCTGAGAAGCAATACTTTGTGCAGGGGCCACAATTTAAATAGCAAAGCTCTAGAACAATAACTCTAGGCTTCATTCCCGTTGTCTGCATGTGAGCCTAAGAATATGCATTTTTGCAAGCGTTCCTCCCCCTCTTGCCTCAGGCCATTCTGATGTGCTGACCGACTCCGTACTTACTCACCTTCACTTCTGTCCGGGATTTATCTTACTTTCCACTACCTAGACAGGAAGGGGCGGATCTGGCTTCCCATCTCGGTTGTGTGACCCTGGGCAAATGCCTCCCGGTTCGTGGAAGCCTCAGTGTCTAGTAAGTTTTCAATCACAAGTCATTCCTCACATTCATTCATCTGTTCCTTTGACAAATGGTTACTGACTACTTTCTGCGTGCTAAGTGCTGGAGATGCAAAATCCACATAGGGAAACCGAATAATTACGAAAATGACGGTAGACGTGCAAAAATAAATTCTAACGAACAAGGCGCACAGGAGCGCTCCGCCCGGGAGGTCAGGGAAGTTTTCTCCCCAAGAAGACAACAGAGCTGAGACCTGAAACGAGCAGGCATTAGGGAGCCACCCGTCTCCTCTGTACCTTCTGCGGCGTCCTCAACACACTAAGGAAGCGGAGATGCAGAGGAGAATGACTCTCCCACCATCTGGTCGCCTAACCAGGCAAGGGCAGGACAAAAACTCCACGCCTCACGTTTCCCAACCAATTCTGCTATGCACGGTGCCAGTGACTTAAAGCACTGTCTCTGGTCCCTTCCTTCTTTCACTCAGCAAATAATTTCAGAGATGTGCCAACACAGAGGCACTTGGAGAAAGAAGAGGCAGCTGAGAGACAGGGAAGCAGCCTACCTGGCCGGGACGCAAGGGTTGCGCCCAAGTCCCACTTCTGCTAGTTACATACACCCTCTTTCACACGCTCTACGAGCAGCTACCGCCCACTCGCCACGCTATTGGTCAAACTAGCATGAATGATAACCGTTAGGGCCAACGAAGAGAAAGGGGTGGACTTTCTTGCCCAGCTCCTCCCCCTTGGCCCAGTGGCTGTTTTGATTGGCAGATGACTTCGGCTCGGCCCCCGCTTTGAAGGCACCTGTCTGTCTCCCATTAGGTACGCGGCCTCTAACGCCCACACTCCATGCCTTCCTCCGCTTTCCCCACCCACTTCCAGGACCAACCAATTACTTCAAGGCAGAATATGCCCCCGCAACCAATTAAAAAGAGCTCTAAACTTGACGGACGACTTCCCGCCCCTGGACTGTCCTAGCTCCTCCCCGCGACCAATTGTTTTAGGAGAGGGGGGCGGATACATCCAATCAGCACGACACAGGTCTCTTGATTGACGTTCGGGTCCTCGCGCTGGCGTGTTGTGCCCTGAGGCGGGAGGAGGAGGAGGAGCGGGGAGGAAAACCTGAGCCAATCCTAGCAGGCTGCGCGGGAGGCCAATCGAACGCCGCGCCTTGGAGCAATCACCCAATCCGCGAAAGGGGGCAGGGCACATCCCTGCCAGGAACCAATAGAACGCCTCCAAGGGTCAGGAGCGACGTTCAGCGGGAGCAATGACAGGCCTATATTCGGGACTCGGGGGCGGGTCGGCGCCAGAGACGAGAAGAGAGGAGGGGAGGCCTCCTCCGCCGCCGCCATCTTGGACCGGGCCCGGTCAGCTTCCGCGGAGCCATCGGCAGACGCCGCGGCCTCCCTTGAGCCCCGACCCCCGTCGTCAGAACAACCCCGGGCCCACTCCCCCAACCCCACTTCCGCTTCGCGCCGCTATCGCGATAGCGCCCGGGCCCGGGGCGCGAGAAAAAGGCGGCGGGCGCTCGCCTCCCCCGCCTGTCGCGATACGCTCCTCAGCGGCGGCGCCAGCTCCTGTGGTGAGAGCGTCAGGCTCGACTGGGCCGGACCCCTTCCCCTCCTCCCCCCGGCGCCATCGGCCGCCCTTCCCGCAGCCTCCCGCCCTGGCGACACCGCCGTCTGTCGCGACATGGCCTCCCCTCGCCTGCCCCCTGCCGCCGCCTCTGCAGCGCGGGGCTCCCGGCGGGGGGCGGCTCCCTCCCTCTCGCCCTCCCGTTCCTCCGCCTTTTTCACGCCCCTCAGCGCCGCCCGGGGGTCCTTCCGCGACCCGGACCCCGGGCCCCGCCCGCCGCCACCTCCCCGCGTGGCATCGCGTCGGGCCCCCCGGTAGGGGTGTGAGGGTGCGAAGCCTCCCGGGCGCGAGGTGCCCGCCCCTCTCCGCGTCGGTATTGGCTCCTGGCTGGAAGGATGGAGGCGCCCCTGGTCCCAGGTGCCCGCCCTCTCGGGGCTCAGGTGCCTGCCCCCCTCGGCCTCGGTCCTTCGCGTTGGGGGGCTGCCTCCGCGCCGGGGCTTCTCTCTCGACGGTGGCGGGGTGGGGGGTGTGCCAACACCCCGGGACGAGGACCTCAGCGGGGTGGGGGAGTCACCCTTCCCAGGACCGAGGCCACCCTCCGCATCCCTCCTCACTGCTCCCCGGAGCGCAGCCTCCCCTGGATCTCAGGTTCCAGCTGCCCGTCCGTATCGGATGGGAGCCTCCTGGGAGAGGAGTGGAGGAGAAACTCCTCGTTAGTTGGAGCCTTTGCCGAAGTTTCCACCTCTGTAGTCTGCAGCTCTTCCCTCTCGTAGCGAGAAGCGCCCTGGGTGGCTCAAGCCTCGCATCCCGCTGCACCGGGCGCCTGCCTTTTGGGGGGGTCTGGCTTTCCCCCACCTGGGGTACAGGACCGTCCTCAGTGTGGCCCACGTCTGGCCTCAGCTCTCACACTTCTTGGATAGTGCTGTCTGCCCCTGGCTTTGCAGCCTTGAACTCCCCTGCATCCTGACTCTCCGACCTGGGAGTGGGCCTCTCCCGGTGATGTCAGGGCCACTGTGGTCTTGCTACTGGGGGCTGCTGGGCTCCCCTAGCGCTCAGGTGCCTGGTGAAGGACACTAAGCCCGCACGCTGCCCATGTTAGTGAGCTCCCACTGCGGGCAGCGCCAGCCCCTCTTTCTGAGCAGTCCCTGCCTCTCAGTGCAGGGCGGCCACCCACCCCGGGGTGAGCTCTTCTGCCCTTTTGGTGAGGGGTTTTGGTGTCTCCCTTCACCCCTGCCTGTGAGGCTTCTTCTGCCTTCACACCAGTCTCCTCCTTTAGGGTGTCATCTCTCCAGGGACCAAGAAGCCCACTGCCCTTGATATTTGCATCAGATCCCACACTGTGGGTTTGTTGTCTTCCCGTCTACCCTCACACTGGGTGTCAGCAGTTGGAGAACAAGGGTTTCGCTTTCCAGCCCCGCTGCTGGTACTCCATGGGAGTAGGAAGCTTCCTAGACCCGGGTTCCTGTACTGCGAGGTGGGGGCTCTTCCCTCTGGGGCTGTGCCTTCTCTCCAGGGTAAGGACCCTTTCTTGGTGTTGCCTCCCCCAGGGATAAGGTTCTTGCCATCCTTGGTATTGGTACGGCTGCTCTTCTGGATTTGAGGTGTCCACGCCTCTACGTGTGTCCCCACCGTAAGGCTGAGGATCCCTCTCGGATGCAGGTGCCCCCGGCTAATGCTTCCAAAACCCCGTCTTGATTTTTCACTGTATGGGGTAAGGCATAGTTGCCTGGCTGTGTGGATGTAAGATACCTGAGTCTCAAGCGGGACACTCCACTGTGGACCCCGTCCCTGGGACCAGAGACTTCTCTGGTGTAGACTTTCCAAAGTAGGAGTTTCCAGCCCCCAACCCTCGGCACGGGCATCTCAGTGGAGATGACTACCTCCACCCCAGGCCCTAACGCATCCTCCTTCTAGAGTCTCAGAGCCTCTGTGTGGCCATGTCAGCAGCCACCGAGGTTAAGGATCACCCTTCAACATCAGTTCCCAGAGCTCCTTGCTGCAGAGGCGGAAGCTCTCCCAGATCAAAGGCGCCTCATGACAAAGACCACTGTGTGGGCACATGACAGCCCCCAAGGTTAAGGACCGCCCAGTGTTAGTTCCCCAGGACTAAGCCTCCTGCCCCTCCCTCCTCAAGTCTTTGTGTGGTGGTATCATCTTCCCTGAGGTGAAGTTTGGGGGCTGCTTCTTTACTGGTTTTGGCCCTCATGTAGGCATGTTGGCTCCTGTGAGGCTGGTGTCCTGCTCACCCCACCCCACCCCTTGTGGGTCCCTGCCCTGTGGGGATGTGTGTTCCTCTTGGGTAAGTCTCCTGGGCCAAGGCTCCCAGATTCCTCAGTGCTCTTGGAGAGCCTTTGCTGCTGGAGCACAGGTTCTTCACGCCTGGGAGTGGACCTGCGATCACCACCTTCCTTGAAGGCTCTTGGTGGACGCCCCGCGGACTACAGCAAATGGGGCTCTTTCTTCTCTGGCAGTGTCTCTGCTTCGAGACTCAAGCTCCAGCTTCCCTTCTCTCTGGTCCTTTGCCGGGGGGACCAGAGGTACAGACACCCTCATGATATAGGAATTTTCTTAGGGGGGAAGGTGTTGTCTCCGCTGTGACTAAGGCTCCAGCCTCTTTAGGGGACAAGTACCCTGGGCCTCTGGCACTTGCCCCTTCTCTGTGGAGGAGCTGCCTCCTTGCTGGGTCTCAGCTGTAGCTGACTTCGATGTCACGCTGTTCTGTCTGAAACATCACCCTCCTGGGCTAGGGCTCTTGTTCCCCTCCAGCTGGCTGCTGACCCCTCCAGGACTTCCTTCTCTTGCTGCCACTGTGTGGTCTCCTCTCTGGGAGTATTCTTCCTCTGTGCTAGGGCACCAGTCCTTTCCGTGTGGAGATGCAGGGAGGGTGTCACCTCCCTAAGGTGTTGATTGCCTTGTTTAGGGGTGAAGACCATGAGACCTCTTCTCTCTCTGGGCTGGAGCACCTGCCCATGACCCTCTGTTGGGTTCTTGGGATGGAAAGAGGGAGCGTAAGCTCTCGTTTCACATTCTTGTTCCCCCTATGCAGTAAGAGGCTTGTCTGTGTTGGGGTGTTGGACTTTGGTGAGGATCCCTGCACACCTCAGGGTTGGTGTCCAGGCCCTTGCCTTGTATAAGCTCCCTGGATCAAAGGGACTTGCCCCTCCTCAGTCAGAATCCCCACTGCGGCACTTTCTCCTGGATCCTTTTGTTGTTGCTTTGCCTTCCTGGAGATTCCCCAGGTGTGGCATGTTAGCTGACTCTGACTCTGAGCGGGGATGCTGCCTTTTGCTTTAGGTTGGGCCTTTTACTGAGGAGATTTAAGTCCCCTCAAGTGTAAGGTAGCACCCCTACCTATTACCACCCAAAATGGGTCCCGGCAGTGTTGGGAAAGTTCTCTCTGGGGTTAGGGCACCAGCCCTGTCCTTCATGAGCTTCTTGTTCTAAAGCACACCCGTCCTATATGGTTGCTGCTAGTCACGTGTGGTGATTACTAACTAGTTAAAAATGAAAAATTCGGTTCCTCCATTACACTTGCCATATTTCAGATGTTCAGTGGCCAACAGATAAGCATAAAGAGAGTGTTCCCAGCATTGCAAAGTTCTGTTGGAGAGCACTGTTTGCCAGATGTTCCCTTCCTTGTGGGTGAGGACCCTCTTGGTGTGACTTCCCTCTGTATTGAGGCTCTTAGTCCTCAGTATGGGGCTGTTTCTGTCTTTACAGTAAGTGACTACTCCCGGGTGCCCTGCCCTGCACAAGTAGAGTGGGAGCGGCCCCTGGATCCCAGGGAACTGTGCTTTTCACTATAGGCCCCCTCCCTGGAGGGGAAGAGGGCAATCTCCACTGGTATCTCAGAAGTCTTCTGAGCATAAGCCTCTCTCCCCAGGGCTCCCCTGGTCTCGCTGTCAGGCCCTAAGATGTGTCTTCCCTTGGACTCAAGTTCCTTGGAACTCCCTTTTGACCTCAGTCTTCTCTGGGTTCCATGTAATTTCCTTTAAAATAAAGATGCTCCTCTCTTTAAGTTTTGGGTTCCTGCCCTGATGGTGCCTGTTTCCCTGAGTCTAAATTACCAATCCACTTGATATGGGATTCCTTCGTGTGTGCAGATTGGCTCCCCACAACTGTGGTACCTTTGCACCCTCTTATCTTAGTAAGATTTCTGTCTTCTCCCAGGTCTCTCTTGGGTGCTGCCTTCTGCCCCCAAATCTCTAACCCTTCTTGGTGTCAGTTTCTTTGGGTTAGGAGTATTATTTCCTTTTGGTTTAAGGATCCTGCTCTGGAATAAATTTCTTGGTGGTTTAAGTCCCTTCTACTTGGCATTCAGCCCTGTCTGTCTGAGTGGGTTCAGCTCTTCATAGTTTTCGGCATCTCTGCTTGCCATCATTTTCCCCCACCCCCAATCTTTCTTCTTCTCTCACCTACAGCTTACACACACACACAACACACACGCACACGCCCTTCTCTGTGAGCTGCCAGTTTCACTTGTCTGCTGGCTTGTCTGAGGGATGACCTCTTCTAGCCACCTCTGTACCCAGCCCCTCTGAGTAGGAAGTGTGATCTGCAGGGCTAATGTCTTCATCCCAGTCATCAGCTGTGTGCAGCATGACTTTGTCCTGCTCTGAAAAATCTTTTTGAGTGTAATCTGGGGAGAAGATACTCCATGCTACAGGAATTTTCCACTTCCTGAGTCAGAGGCACACAAAAAAGTATGTAACTTTTCTTGTTTCAACAAACTTACGGGATCGTCTGTTGGCCAGACACTATGCTGGGCAGTCAAGTGAGCATCAGGAGAACTGGGACTGGTCTCTTGTCAGATAGCAAATGCTTCTTTCCTTTACCAGTCCCACCTACCTAACTATGCTGACTAGGTCTATGTCTCTGGGTTTTTACCAGCCGGAGAATGCGTGTTAATTCCTCTCCAATCTCTCCCAGCAGCGTCCGTCTCTAAGAGAGTATGAAGAGAGTGCGTCTGTAGGGCAGGGAAGATGGCGGACAAGCGCAAACTCCAAGGTACTAGATTGACTTCCTACTGCACCTGTAGCCACGTGCTCCCTCTTCTGAGGACTGCTCTTTAGATACCTGCCGCCTGGGCAGGATTCTCACAGCCTTCTTCCTCCCTGGCCAGGTGAGATTGATCGCTGCCTCAAGAAGGTGTCCGAGGGCGTGGAGCAGTTTGAAGATATTTGGCAGAAGGTACAGGGGCTGAGACCCTAATCATCTGGGTCTTCAGAGAGGAGGGCACAGGAAGAAGGTTCAGGACCTCTGGGTGTTGACCAGGGGGAGGGGCTACATATTGCAGATGCTGAGGACCTAAGAGAATCGGCTGTAAGACTCATTGGGGGTAGGGGTTGGGGGGTCCTCGAGTCCCTAGCATAAGGAAGACTCACTGGAGTGGGTACTGGGACATCCCCTCCCACACTGACTTCTGAATTCCCTCCATCCCTCAGCTCCACAATGCAGCCAACGCGAACCAGAAAGAAAAGTATGAGGCTGACCTAAAGAAGGAGATTAAGAAGCTACAAGTGAGGGGACTGGGGGCCTGGACGCCTGTGTCCTGAGGGTTGAGGGAACTGGGAGAGTGGACTGCTGGGTCCCAGGGAGAAGGAGCTGTGGGTCCCAGTTCCCGGATCCTGAGGTCTGACTTTCTTGCTTTTCCCATCTGCAGCGGCTGAGGGACCAGATCAAGACATGGGTAGCGTCCAACGAGATCAAGGACAAGAGGCAGCTTATAGACAACCGCAAGCTCATTGAGACGGTAGGAGCCTAGAGCCTGAGTCCTAGAGAGGTGGGAAGGTCACCAGATTCTTGAGATCTCAAGGGGCGGAGGCAGCACGGCCAGACCCCAGAGTTTTTCAAGAGAAGTAGGGTTTCTGGAGCTAAGGGAAGGAAGAGGCAGCGGACTCAGAGCTCAGAAAGGAGGGTCATGAGGCTCAGGTCTGAGTGTCTGCTGGCCCTTAGTCACCTCCTTTCCCGCCTTTGAGAGCCACCTGCCAACTACACTCTCTGCAGCAAATGGAACGGTTCAAAGTTGTGGAACGAGAGACCAAAACCAAAGCTTACAGTAAGGAGGGCCTGGGCCTGGCCCAGAAGGTAGATCCTGCCCAGAAGGAGAAGGAAGAGGTTGGCCAGTGGCTCACGGTGAGTTGGGGTGGAGAAGAGGAGGTGAACTCTGAGGATCCTGAGCCCTGGGTGTAGGTGGGAACCCTGGCTGATGGCTTTCCTCTTCCTCTCCCTCCCCTAGAATACCATCGACACGCTCAACATGCAGGTGGACCAGTTTGAGAGTGAGGTGGAGTCACTGTCAGTGCAGACACGCAAGAAGAAGGGCGACAAGGATGTGAGTGAGGGAGACCCCACACCTTTGGGATGGGGATGGGCATGGGGATGGGCTGGCCAGCAGGAGGCCAGTCATTTAGGCTCCTGGGAGTTGGGGCCTGGATTCCTCAGGCGGACAGGGCCAGCAGCCGGGATTAGGGATTTGAGAGACAGGATCGGGAGGGCTTAGCAGCTGCCTGGGTGGGGCAGGGAGGAGGTCAGACAAAATCTCAGGGTCCCCTGGGTGTCTGGGTAGACAGTGGGGCCTTCGTGAAGAGGAGTGATTTGGGGGAATGTGAATGCAGGTTGAGCTTGAGCCACAGAGTAAGCGTGAGACCTGAAGGACACCCATGGCAAGAGGCCTCCTGGCATCCAGAGGACGCTGGTCCTAGGGAGAGCACAGTGGGTAGAGACAGGCAGAACATGGAGAAGGCAGAGAACTGGGCCTGAAGGAAGAGAGGAATCTGGGACGAAGCTGGATATTAGGGTCCCAGGTTCTGAAATCTGGGATTGTAGGGTATGAGTTCAAAGGGATACAAACTGTATGGACTTGTTGAAACCAGAAACACAGGGAGGGGAGAGCTGGGTCCTCAGGGAAGCTGTGGGTGGGAAAGGGTCAGGAAGTGGACGATGACAGGGTTGGGTGTCAGATTCTGAGGGGTTTGGGAACCAGGGGCTTTTGGGGAGATGATGGGTCCTTGAACAGAGCAGGGATTTGGAACTGAGACTAAGATGTTAAATGCCAAAGGGGCCTTGAGAGGAGGGCAGGAGCGAGGCTTATGGATCTTTGCTCCCGTGGGGATAAATGGGTGGGGTTGGGGGACCTAGTGATGACAAATATCATCATGATTCTAAACAGCAAGCTCCTCACAAATGGGGGTTATCATTATTACTGCTGGAGCAAGCTGGAGGGTATCTGTATGCCAGAGGCAGTCAGTGGTGGGTGGGCTCAGTTGAGAAATCTGGACTCAGTTGAGAAATCAGGTGAGGTGCAGATGGAGGCCAAGTCATGGGATGGCACAAGGACCTCTGGGGTTGTTTAGAGGTTTCCAAGGACTCCTGGAGCCAGAAACGTGTGGGAAGAGGAAGGAGCAGAGCAGTGGGATCCCAAGATGTCAAGCCCTGTGGTCCCTACAGGGCTCAGAGGGTGGGTGGACCCCATACTGCCCCACCCCAGAAGGGGCTGGCGTGGAGGCTTTGGGTCTCCACAGGGGTCAGGGACTGAGGACAGGTTCTGTGGGGGCAGGAGGGGCCAAGCAGGTGGTCTGCAGCCCCTGAGCCTGGCCCTGGGCTCGCCAGCAGAAGCAGGACCGGATCGAGGGCTTGAAGCGGCACATCGAGAAGCACCGCTACCACGTGCGCATGCTAGAGACCATCCTGCGCATGCTGGACAATGACTCCATCCTTGTTGATGCCATCCGCAAGATCAAGGACGACGTTGAGTACTATGTCGACTCATCCCAGGACCCCGACTTCGAGGAGAACGAGTTTCTCTACGATGACCTGGACCTCGAGGACATTCGTGAGGCCCTGGGGCTGATCGTGGCACAGGAAGTGAGGGCCCAGAGTGGGCTGTGAGCGAGCTAAGCATGCCCTTCTTCTGCCCCCACAGCACAGGCGCTGGTCGCCACCTCCCCCCCCAGCCACAGCCACATGGAGGATGAGATCTTCAACCAGTCCAGCAGCACACCCACCTCGACCACCTCCAGCTCTCCCATCCCGCCCAGCCCAGCCAACTGTACCACGGTGAGGCCCCACGGGGCACGAGTACCTTGTGTTTCCAGCAGGGCTGGACTCGAGGAGGCAAATCTGGGTCACTCCAAAGTGGCTAGGGGAGAGTAATTGAGGAAACACAGATCTAGGTATCCAGGGTCTAGGCTCTTGGAGCACACCCTAAAATCCTACATCTGGGTCCCTAACGAACATAAAGAGTAATAGGGTGTATCCTGGGCCAGTTTAGGTCCTGGATCTGGGAGATGGGAGGGGCCGGTGCCTGGGCTGCCTGAGGAGGCTGGGTAGCTGGCCACCTTGGGCAGGGATCCAAGGGTTGGATTCCCTGTGGAGAGCAGGTTCCCAGATCCTTAAGAGGCTGGTGGGTCAGTGCTGGCTCCCAGAAAACAAGAACATTGGAGAGCCTGAATTTAGGTGGTTTCTCCAGGCAGATTAAGGACAGCCGTTTGACCAGCTCTGGGGCTGCAGTGGCAGTCAGTTGGGCCCAGGGCCCGGGACATTCAGAGATTGGCGGTTCTCTGTCAGAACCCCAGAGGTCACACAGGTTTCTGTTCTGCCTCCCCTACCTCAGGAAAACTCTGAAGATGATAAGAAGAGGGGACGTTCCACAGACAGTGAAGTCAGCCAGGTGGGTGTGGGTCTGGAATGGATGGGCATGTTGGGCAATATCCCAAAGGCACATTGAGACCTGAGTGCTGGCCACTGTGCTGGGCTGGTGGACACAGGTGGGTCAGAAATCAGTGCTGCCCTGAGGGCAGGTGGGCAGGGCAAGTGGACAGGTGACTGGTGCTGTGGTCAAGGGGGTGGCACAGGTCACCCCCAGCCTGGCCAGGCAGTCAGGAGATGCTGCTGTGGAGTGCCCTGGGCTTGAGAGTCAGGTGAGTTTGCCTGGCAGGGAGAGGCGGCAGCCAGTAACAAGGGGCAGTTGTGACAGAAAGCCTGGAAGTGTGGAGAGATGGCTGGCCAGGTGTGCAGGGCCAGGCGTCCAACTGTGAGCACAGGGACTGGGACTGTCAGGCTGAGGGGCTCAGGCTTCGTGGACCTGAGTGGCCTCCAGAGCCAAACAAGCCTAGGAAGTGATGGGGCTTTGCTGTGCTGATAACACACACTTCAAGTTTCTGAGAGGAGACGGTGGTGGGCAGTGCTTCTCCAACTCCTGTAACATCGCCCGGGACAGGAGCCTGCTTTCGGAAATGCTGCTACAGAAGAATGTTAGGGAGGAGCAGCGTGGGCCTGAGGCCCCTGTGTGGGCTAACGGGATGGATGGTTTCGAGGGGACACCCTGAGTGGGCACTGGGGGGGCTGGCGTGGAGACTAAGACGACCCGCAGGTAGTAGGGAGGGCGGGCAGCAGGGCCAGGAGGTGATGAGGAGAGACACTGAGGCAGATACTCCAGGGGCCAGGCTGGGCTCTGCCACCTTCCCAGCCTCCCACTGCCAGGCAGCGATCCCAGGAGAGAAGTGGTTAGTCAGTCCTGTTGGGCGCTTGGTAAGCGCAGGGAGCCTGTGGGGTGGCTGGAAAGAAGTGCAGGAGGTGGTTAGGCTCGGCAGCCTGAGTGCTGTCGGCAGCTGCCTGCAGTGGGGATACCATGAGCACATTTACCCTCCCACCACTTTCTGGAGTGCTGGTAACTTACAGCCCTGTGAGTAGTTTCTATGACCCCTCAGGTGATGCTCAGAATTACTACCCAATTTCTAGCTGTTTTTCCTTCTACTCTTGGACATTAAGCTGCTCCAGCTAATCTCATATTGAGGACATTTAGGTGTTTCCCACTAGTCCCCTGGCTTCCAACAGATGGATCTTCTCTGGCTGACAACCTAAGTTGTGGTCAGATCCCTGTGGGGGTATCCGTGGGGCAGTGTCCAGGCAGGACTTGGGAAGCTGGGCAGGCTGGAAATCAGTGTGAGTGTTTTAAGCATGAAGGTGACTGAAGCCATGAGGGTGAGTAAGGTCACCCAGGTTCCCAGGAGGGCGGGAGCAGTTGGGGGCAGCAAGGCCAGAGAGGAGGCTGCTGGGACGAAAATGGAGCCTGAGGTGGGGGTGGTAAGGGAGACCAGCTGGCCCACTGGGTCCTGATCCTCTGCTCTCTCCCACCCGCAGTCTCCAGCCAAAAACGGCTCCAAGCCTGTCCACAGCAACCAGCACCCTCAGTCCCCAGCTGTGCCGCCCACCTACCCCTCCGGCCCCCCGCCTGCTGCCTCTGCCTTGAGCACCACTCCTGGCAACAACGGGGTCCCTGCCCCAGCAGCACCCCCAAGTGCCCTGGGCCCCAAGGCCAGTCCAGCTCCCAGCCACAACTCGGGCACCCCTGCCCCCTATGCCCAGGCTGTGGCCCCATCGGCTACCAGTGGGCCCAGCACGACCCAGCCCCGGCCCCCCAGCGCCCAGCCTGGTGGAGGCGGCGGCGGCGGAGGTGGAGGGAGCGGCAGCAATAGTAACAGCAATGCCGGTGGAGGGGCTGGCAAGCAGAATGGCGCCACCAGTGAGTGGGGAGGCAGCGGGGTGGGCATGGGCGGGGCTGGGCAGCCGCCGGCAGCCCTTCCCATTTTATTCTTTGTTCCCAGGTTACAGCTCAGTTGTGGCAGACAGCCCGGCAGAGGTGGCTTTGAGCAGCAGTGGGGGCAACAATGCCAGCAGCCAGGCCCTGGGCCCCCCTTCCGGCCCCCACAACCCACCTCCCAGCACCTCGTGAGTGTCTCGGCCATCAGCAGGGTTGGGATGGCGGCCTTTCGGCACAGAGAGGCGCTGGTGCCTCACCCCTGCATCAGTGGGTTCTGGGCCCCCCGCCCTTGCTGCTGGGAATGTCCGAGCACTGTCCTCCACCTCTGTCGGGTGTTAACACCCCCACTTCTTTCCAGCATGGAAACGACATCAGCCTCCCTGCTTTGCCCTTCAGAACATTCTAAAACATGTTCTCATCTAAGTGGAAGTTTTCTCAAGAGCCCCATACCCTTTCCTCCCCATTTCTGTTACCTGCCCAAGGCTACTTGACTGCCACTGGAGGGTCACTGTTCCACTTTTCAAAGTGAATTGTCTCGAAGTCCTCATTCCTCTGCAGCCACTCCTCCAAATCTTAGCTCAGACCATTCCACTGTGTCCGCCTGTTTCCCGAAGACTGCCCCAAGAAAGATCAGTGTGCACAAAGGAAAGGCCTGCTTCCTGGTCCCCTCACCCCAGCTCCAGCTGGCCTGCCCAAGAGGGAATGGGCCCTGTGTCCACCTGCCCAAGGCAGCTGGTTTTGATCAGCCTGTGACCTGGTGGAGCACCCGAGAATCCTCACTCCCATCCCCGCAGCTCTGCTCTACTGATGAGAAACCATTCCAAAGATTGGGTTCTGCCTTTGTTTGCCCAGAGCCACTGTCTCCCATCTGTCTACCCTCAGCCGCCCCGCTCAGATCCCATCTGATGTGTGCAGCCTCCCCTCTCTCCAGCCAGGCCTTTCTGCCCATCCCACCCTCAGGGGCCCTCCTCTCAACCCCTCTCTTCCATGCTCTCCAGGAAAGAACCCAGTGCGGCAGCCCCAACAGGGGCTGGGGGCGTGGCCCCAGGCTCAGGGAACAACTCAGGGGGACCCAGCCTCCTGGTGCCACTGCCTGTGAATCCTCCCAGCTCCCCAACGCCCAGCTTCAGTGATGCCAAGGCAGCCGGTGCCCTACTCAATGGGCCTCCACAGTTCAGCACCGCCCCGGAAATCAAGGTGGGCTCCTTGGACATCCCCCGAGCCTCTGTGTCCTGACTCTGCTGTTCCTTTCCTCCAGGTCTCTAGCTGCGCCCCTTGCCCCCACCCCCTTTTTGGATCTCTCTCTCTCTAGCTTTCTGTCCCCTTCTCACACTTGCTCGTTCTCCAGGTCTTTCTGTACCACCCTTCCCGTGACCTTGATCTCTGGGGGCTCTCATACCTCCCCTCTTGTTCCCTCCAAAGCTCTGTTTCTCTGGGTCTCTTTTCCTTTCTCTTGGTTATACTTGTTGCTTGCTCTCTCTGGGTCTCCATCTTCATCCCCACCCAGGCCCTCAGTTTCTGTCCCCATTTGTCCTGACAAGGCATACCAGTCTCTGTAGTTCACATGATCCATTACCTAGCTCACTACCCTCCTTTTCCTAGCTAAGAAACCATTTCAGTCAAGAAAACACTTGTTGAAGTCCACTGGGGGCCACGCTTTGTGTTGGGTGAATGCAGCCTGGTTCCTCCCTTTAGGAAGCTTCCCTGCTGGGGCAGCTGCCGGGAATGTTGCTGTGGGCCCACTGAGGGGCATCTGAGCTGACCTGGGAGACAGGCCCAGGAAGGCTCTGAGAGGTGGTGATGTTTAAGCTGAGACCTGGAGGGGGGCTGACAGCTGCAGGAAGGGCTTCAGGAGGTGCTTTAGGAGGAGCGTGCATCTTTAGGAGGCTGGGCAGGATGCAGCAGAGAGGAGAGAGGTGTCCACTCTGCAGGAGGCAGTGCCACCAGCTGCAGGGCTGAGATAGTGGGTGTAGCAGGACAGGACGGGGGGTCCTGATCATCCAGGCTCAGGAGCTGGGGCTTGGCTTGTGAGCCAGTATCCGGTAGCGCAGCTTCCACGGGGAGGCAGCGTGTGCGCCCAGGCTGTCCGGGTCCAAGTCTTGGCATTGTCCTTTCTGTGCCTTCCCTTCATCTGGGAAATGGCAATAATCACGATTATACCTACCATATAGGTTTATTTGGAAGACTAAATCATTCTTACGAAGCTATTGGAACAGTTTCTGACCCAACAGAAGCATTAATTTTTTTTTTTTTTTGTTTGAGATGGAGTCTTGCTCTGTCACCGAGGCTGGAGTGCAGTGGTGCCATCTGGCTCCACCTCCCAGGTTCAAGTGATTCTCCTGCCTCAGCCTACTGAGTAGCTGGGACTACAGATGCCTGCCACCACGCCCAGCTAATTTTTGTATTTTTAGTAGAGATGGGGTTTCACCATGTTGGTCAGGCGGGTCTCGAACTCCTAACCTCAGGTGATCTGCCCGCCTCGGCCTCCCAAAGTGCTAGGATTACAGGTGTGAGCCACCGTGCCTGGCCCAAATTTTAGAAGTATGGTGGACAAGATATTTATAGTGCATGCATTTTTCTGGAAAAAGGGGAAACAGCAGCTTTGAGATTTTCAAAAGGGGTCCATACCTTTTAACATCACCACCAACAAAAAGGAATTGCTGGGGTGGGTGGTCGGGAACCGTGGCAAGGTTTGGAGTAGAGAAGGAACAACATGACTTCATTGGAAAGGTCCCCTGGGGCTGATGAGGACAGGATAGAGAGAGGGTGGTCTGGGTAGGAGAGGACAGGCTTGGGCTGCGTGGGGCGTGGTGGCGTGACAGGGCAAGGAGCCATCCAAGGTGGCTTAGAAGCAGGACGGATAGCCAGGCGCGGTGGCTCACACCTGCGATCCCAGCTCTTAGGGAGGCAGAGGCAGGAGGATAACTTGAGCCCAGGAGTTTGAGACCTGCCTGGGCGATACAGCAAAACAGGATGGATAAGCCTTGGCGACTGACGCATTGTGGAGTCCCGCACAGGGCTGGGGTTAGGGACAGGTGCACGTGGCCAGAGGAGATGGAGGAACCAGCTCTGACTTTGGGGAACACAAGCCTGCTGTAACCTTTGTAATAGGAAACGAGGCTGTGGCTACAGGTCTGGAGACCCAGCCTACCTGTCGCCAGCAAGGAGACTGAAGCCTAGCAGGGCTGGGCTCACCCTGATCCCAGTCACCCCATGCCAGTCAGAGGCAGACAGCTGAGCATGTAGACTCCTGCCTCCTTCAAGACAGGCGGGAGCTCTCCCAGCATGTAGGTGTCCCTAGTGAAGCAGCGTGTACTATTGGCACATCCTTTGACAAAAATGGTAGCGCACTGTACATATTCTGCAGGTTGGCGTTTACTTCTGTAGTATGTCACGAACTTGTGTTTTGAAAATCTCCGTGCAGTATTCCACGGTGCAGAGTCCCACTTACTAGACGTTCCTCTGCTGATGAATGCGTCAGTCGTTTCCAGTTGTTTCCCTACAGTTTGATGCCTTTACCTGTCATGGGTAGATCATGAGGAGTGGCTCATTGGCCCTCCACAGCCCCCAAGCAGGGCAGGCAAGCGCATCTGGGACCTGTGTCAGGCTGCACTTGCTGCTGCAGCCCAAGTGCTCAGGGCAGGCCTCTCGTTTCCTCCCCAGGCCCCTGAGCCTCTGAGTTCCTTGAAGTCCATGGCGGAACGGGCAGCCATCAGCTCTGGCATTGAGGACCCTGTGCCAACGCTGCACCTGACTGAGCGAGGTGAGGAACCCAGGATGGTGGGGAAGCAGTGGGCCAAAGAGGAAGGGCTGGCCCCTGACCCATCCTCAGCACTGAGGGGCCGGACCCCACCTCTCCCCACAGACATCATCCTGAGCAGCACATCAGCACCTCCCGCCTCAGCTCAGCCACCCCTGCAGCTGTCAGAGGTGAACATACCGCTGTCGCTGGGCGTCTGTCCGCTGGGCCCTGTGCCCCTCACCAAGGAGCAGCTCTACCAGCAGGCCATGGAAGAGGCCGCCTGGCACCACATGCCCCACCCCTCTGACTCTGAGCGTATCCGGTGAGGGCCCCAGGGAAGGGGGGTGGGCTGGGGCTCGAGTCTTAGCAAGGAGGCAGTGGCTAAACCCGTGAGGCTGTGGGCAGAGCGCCAGGCCCCTGACTTGGGCTCTCCACTGAAGGTCGGTCAGCGCCGCCCTGGGTCTTTCTGTACCACCTCCCCTGTGGGGATGCAGTTCTGAGCACCCTTTTGATCAGGGCAGGACTAGCAGGCAGCTGGCACTGACCTTCCTGTTGCTCCCACAGGCAGTACCTCCCCCGGAACCCCTGTCCGACGCCCCCCTACCACCACCAGATGCCACCCCCACACTCGGACACTGTGGAGTTCTACCAGCGCCTGTCGACCGAGACACTCTTCTTCATCTTCTACTATCTGGAGGTACAGCAGGGCCCCCGGGGCAGCCTCGGGCCCCCCGGCTTCGCCGCCACCGCCGCCGTCCCCCCTCGGGCTGGAGGGGTGAGGTGGGTGCCCCACTGCGGCCACTGGGACCGCACCCCCTCCCTATTCCCAGTCCTGGGCCCCCCCCCTCCCCCCGCCAATTCAACCTGTCCCTGTCCCCGCTTCCAGCCCAAAGGTGTTAGAACTGCTTGGATTGAGAGCGAGGCCAGTCCACTGTGGCTCACCCCAGCCCTGCTTCCAATAGCTTACTGGCTAACCCCTGGGGTCCCCCCACAGCCCTGCTCCAGCAGCCCCTCAGTCTAGGCCGACCCCACTCCACTCGTCGGCCATTCTCAGGCCTCCCTGGAGGCCACTGGGGAACTGTCCAGCCTCCTCCCCACCCCAGTGAGTCATGAGTGACCTCCACCCTCATCCCCACTTGGGAAATTTTCTAAATTGCCTCCTCTCTCAGCTCTCATCACACATTAGTTTTTCTTCCTTCTCAAAGCTTCTCTGAAAGCAATTTTCACCTCCTGTCTCATTTTCCTTCTCCTGACCAGCATTGGTATGTTCTGTGCCCCCAGCCCCATCTCCACGAGGATTGTCCAGCCCAACTGTGGTCTGTGGCGGGGGCCGGGGTTCAGCCCTGATGTCCTGCCCCGTCCCCCTGGCTCCCCACCCAGTTTGGGGGCCTCCTGATCCCCCTCTCCACTGTTCCTCCCCCAGGGCACTAAGGCACAGTACCTGGCAGCCAAGGCCCTAAAGAAGCAGTCGTGGCGATTCCACACCAAGTACATGATGTGGTTCCAGAGGCACGAGGAGCCCAAGACCATCACTGACGAGTTTGAGCAGGTGAGGGCCCCGCCCCCTCTCTTCCCGCTGCTAGGGTTGGGGTAGAGTCCCCAGGCTCCAGGCAGCCCCTGCTGGCCTCTGCGCCCTCGCCTCCACCTTTCAGCCGGCGCAGTCCCTCAGCCTGACCATGTTCTCCTCCCTCGGGCTGTCTGCTCAGCCTGGAACACTGCCCTCTCATCCTCCACTTGGCCAGCTCCTAGGCCTCCTGTGGGTCTTAGCCCAAATGTCCCTTCCTCAAAGACACCTTCCTGGCGCCACCCAGCCTGGTGCCTCCCCCTTGCAGTGCTGGGCACACTCGCTTGGGTGTGGGATTTTCCCGGTATGTCTCCCTGTACCAGGCTGTGGGCTCTGCTGCCCAGGGACCTTGATGGCCCCCCTTTCACCTCCAGGTCCCAGCACCCAGCAGGGCAGGGGCTCAGTGGGGAAGCTATTTTTTTTTAATGGGCTTCTCAAGTTTTAATACTGGGAAATTCCTGCTTCTTGCAAACACTCTGGAGCCAGCCTACCTGGGTTTGAGCCCAGTCTAGCTGGGTGACTCTGGGCAAGTCACTCGAACCTCTGTGTCTCAATTTCCTTATCTGTAAAAATGGGGGGAAGAAGACCTACCTAATGCAGTTGTTATGAAGATTAAATGAGTTAATAACGTGTAAGTACTTAATGGTGACTGCTACATAGTCAGTGTCATGGATTTTTTTTTTTTTCCAAATTACTTTCAGTGTGTTCTACAGTGACGTTTTTTTCCCACCAAATACTTCCCTGAAGCCGAGCCCCTTCATGGGGATGAAGTATTACAAGGTCCTTGTCCTCAGAGAACTCAGTCCCCTCTCCTAGTTCTCCCAGGTTGCCATCTTTGATGCATTTAAAACATTCATTCAGAACCTAGCTCCTCTCCCACTGTGTCCTCAGACATTAACTACAGACTTCCTGTCCTTTGCTGGTTTGGCCCAAAACCATCCTCCGAGTTAGTACATTTCAGGCCATCCAGTCATTCAGAAATTCCCACACCACTGCCGTCACCAATAAAATGTCCCTGCAGAGTGCTTGGATTTAGACTCTGAGCCTGTTCCATTCTCTAGAACAAGGGTGACAGTACCCACTGCCTCGAGGTCTTTGTGAAGATTGAATGCTAGGCTGTGCATCCTGTACTCACACGTGAGAGGTGCTCAAAAGCCGCAGCCCTCGAGAAAACGAAGGCTGTGCACTCACGCCTGGTGCTGGGGCTGGGGCCCCGCTCTGGCAGCTGGCTTCGGTGGAACCTCTGCGGCCCCCTCCGTTTCCTCCTCGCTGAAGTGGCATGATAACATTTCCTACCCAAGAAGAACCTTGTGAGGGTGGAGAGAGTGTGCGCGTGCAGGGCAGCTGGCCCGGTGCCTGACACACCTACAGCCCTAAGAACTGTCCCCTTTGTCTGTCGGTCCGGCCCAGATCCCAGACCACCTCCTCGTCCACTCACTGACCGCCTTCTCCCCCGGCCAGGGCACCTACATCTACTTTGACTACGAGAAGTGGGGCCAGCGGAAGAAGGAAGGCTTCACCTTTGAGTACCGCTACCTGGAGGACCGGGACCTCCAGTGACACCGGCCCCTCCCTCTACCCACCCCCTTCCCCCGCATGCTGATCCCCCTGCCCAGGTGAGGGCCCTGCCCTGGAAGACTGGAGGGAGGCCCCAGGCCACGGGGCATCCCCCTCTCCCAGGAAGCAGGGAGGGGGCCGGGAGGTTTTCCTCTCAGCCCCACCCTGGGGGCCCGGGGGCGAGGGCTGCCCCCTCCTCCCCTCCCCAGTGAGGGACATTTTTTGGTAAACCTATTTTCATTTTGGAAAATATGTATGAATAAATACTTTTATATGACGGCTGGCAGCAGCGGCCTCTCCTGTACCCCCCTCAGGAGTCAATGAGCAAAGTGAGGGTCCTGCTGGCCGGGCCAGCTGGGGGTTGAATTGGGAGTTGTACCGCCGCCTCCGGTCATCTGTCTCTTCTTCCGGCTGACCCTCCTGTAGTGCCCGGCCTTGGACCCGGCCAGCAGGGCCTCTGCCCGAGCCCTCTCAGCTGCTTCCCTCCGAAGACGTTCAGCTCGAAGCTGGTCCAGGGATGGAGGCCTGCGGGGAGAGGAGTGAGGTCAGAAAGCTGGTAGCTCCTAGGAGGCCATTCCCCCAACCTCTCCCATAGAGGGAGCTGCCGCCTGGAAGCCCTGCTGCATCCAGTACGCCCCAGCCTCAGCTCTCAGGCCTTCTGGAAGAAGCCACTTGGTGCTGGGACACCATGGGCACGTCTCTGGCCTTCCCTTCTGTGGACTTCTGGCCTTCCCTTCTGTGGACTTCGGTCCTCCCCAGTCTTTAAAATCTGATGCTCCTCCAGGTCAAGAAAGCACAATGAGCAGCCCCCTGGCCCTCAGTTTCCCTTTCTAGAGAAAAGAGTACAGGCAGTGTACCCCTCTAGACCAGGGGTACAGCATCCTGGAGACAAACCTGCTTTTACTGTCTTAACCCAGCAGCTCTCAAACTGTTTGGTCTCAGGACCCCTTTATACTCTTTGAAACTGAGGACCCTAAGAGCTTTTGTTGAAATAGATTCTACCTGTTAATATACTGCAAATCAGAAGTGAAAACTAAGAAAGTTTGGACACAAGCATCTGTGCCATCAGCCATCAGAACGAGGGTGTCTTCTCATCACACAGCCTCTGGAAACCTGCACTATGTGCCTGAGAATGCGAGTGAAAAAGGCTAACAGTGTTAGGAAAATAGGCTTGATGCCACAGCACCCCGGGAAAGGGTGGCAGGACCCCTGGGGCTTCCTGGACCACATGTTGAGAACCACTTCACCCAGCCAGCCCTTCACCGAGTCCCTGGCTGTCCTGACCAGAGACCCTGCAGTGCCCACGCTGGGCTGCTGCCAAGCCCTGAAAGTCTGGGCCCCGGTCTGCCGAGGAGGGTCTTCCCTCTTACTCCTCGGGTCGTTGCTTCTCAGACCCCTCCTTCTTTTCCTTTCTGCTGCAATTGCCTTCACCGCTGTGCCGTCTCTTCTTCCCCAGATGCTTCTGCATCTCCCGAAGAGGGTCCAGACGGCTCTTGATCTTCTCATCTGGGGCTGGGCCAGGCGGGGGCCCCCCTCGCTCCGGGGGTAGCTGGTACCAAGGGGGTTGAGTCTGTGCCTCCGCCGCACTCTGGCCCAGGTACGTCAGGATGCCCAGAGCTTTCTCTTGCCTCTCCTGAGGGGGCCAGGAAATACAAGAGATGGGATATAATCTTTCAAGGTGTCAGGTGTGTCTCCCTGACATAGGAATCTAAGCAAACAGGTACCTAAGGCTTGTCATGAACCAGTTGTACCAGGTGCTGGGGATGGAAGACACCAACAGAGGCCAAGTTCCCCCTGGGGGGACAGTGGCAGGTACAGTAACAGCAGAGGAAGGAGGGGACAAGTGGAGCCACTTGAGTGTTCAGAGGCAGGCATCTTTGCAGAGAGACTTGAAGAGAAGCCTGAAGGGATCAAGCAAAGCAGAGGAGCCATGGGTGGGGTCAGCAAGTCCAGAGACAGCAGGTGAGTGACAAGAGCTCATGTACCTGTTTTTTTTGAGATGCAATCTCACTCTGTTGCCCAGGCTCGAGTGCAGTGGCACCATCTCGGCTCCCTGCAACCTCTGCCTCCCAGGTTCAAGCAATCCTTCTGCCTCAGCCCCCCTAGTAGCTGGGATTACAGGCATGCACCACCATGCCCGGCTAATTTTTGTATTTTTAGTACAGACGGGGTTTTGCCATGTTTGGCCAGGCTGGTCTTGAACTCCTGACCTCAGGTGATCCATCCACTTGACCTTCCAGTGCACGACACTGACGTACTTTTTCACTTGATCTCAGCCAAAAGGCAAGAGGCGACTGATTTGCTTTTTTTTTTTTTTTTTGAGATGGGGTCTCACTCTGTCACCCGGCTGGAGTGCAGTGCGCAATCTCAGCTCATGCAACTTCCACCTTCTGGGTCAAGCGATTCTCCTGCTTCAGCCTCCCAGGTAGCTGGGATTACAGCGTGCACCACCACATTTGGCTTATTTTTTTGTATTTTTAGAGATACCATGTTGACCACGCTGATCTTGAACTGCTGACCTCAGGTGATCCACTCGCCTCAGCCTCCCAAAGTCTGGGATTACAGGCATGACCACAGCTGGCTGATTTACATTTTAAAAGCCATGAGGTTTCAGACCCTCAGTTTGGAGAACTGAGCAGTTTGCCTAGCAGCTGGACCTCTAGCATCTACCTCCAAGCCTGTGGGTGTCCAGATGGCAACACTTCTTACAGTCGCATGCTTTGGTATGGGTTCTAAATTCTTTCTTTTTTCTTTTTTCTCTTTTTTTTTGAGGCAGAGCTCGCTCTGCCGCCCGCGCGCATCAGTGCGCAATCTCGTCACTGCAAGCTTCCCGCCTCCGGGTTCCCGCCATTCTCCTGGCCTCAGCCTCGACCGAAGTAGCTGGGACTACAGGCGCGCCACCCCACGCCCGCTAATGTTTTTGTATTTAGCTAGAGGACGGGGTTCTCATTGTGTATCAGGATGGCTCGGATCGTCCTGACCGTCGTGATCGCCGTCTCGGCCTCCCAAAGTGCTGGGATGTACAGGCTTGAGCCACCGGCGGCCCGCCTATCTGGTTCTAGAATTCTGTGTGTTCATTCTCGTTTGACTGATCACAAGCATGCTACACTGCTTCCCCAACTCTGATTCATTGGGCTCTCATGACATAGGGTGAGTCAAGCTTAACTTTCCTCCTGTCGCTTTTCTTTCCCTCGTAGCTCTTTATTGCCTCTGATCACTCCTTTCCCTTCCTCCAGCAGCTCCCGAAACAGGTCCACAGGGCCAGAACTTGGGGCTCCCGCCTCTGCTGCTTCAAGCGCAGGCAGTGAGTTCTGATGTCTGGCTTTCTTTCGTAGGAATTCTGTACGGGCCTGGGGAGAAAGTTATAGGCAGGGCATTCAGAACCTAGAGGTAATTCAAGAACTGTGAGTCTGGTGCCCACCAAAGAAAATGGCAGTCCAGGGTGCTGGGGTTATAAGAAAGGGAGCACTAGACGCCTAAAAGAGGCACCCCCTAGCTGGGGGTGAGGGTAGGCAGATGAGGCAACGCCTGGGTTTTGTAAACTGCCTTTCAAATCGTAAACCACGGGTCATCAAGGATGGCTGGAAGGAGGTCCCTGGCCTAAACCAAAGGGGTTCCTAACCTCAAGTGAGACAATTAAAACAGCCATAAAGGTAGACCAAACTGCATTAGGCCAGACGATCTGAATTCTAGCCATGGCTCCAAGTCACTACCCCAAGTCGACTGCTGAAGCCCTGTCCCCCGCCTTCAGGACGCAGATTTCAAACAGCGCTCAGCAGCCTACTGAGATTCTAAAAACCCAGACTACCTCCCACCCACTGTGGAGGATCAGACTAGCTAAGGAACTGAAAGTTGGGTGCACACCAAACAGATTTAAGGAGCCATACAGAAAGCCCGTGTTTGTGTGTATGTGTCTAGGGGGCGGTGCAGGAAAGGGCTCGCCCGATGGCGTGGAGCCTGCCTGTCCCCCTCTCCTTAAATGTGCCTTCCCCTCACTGAAGCCATCTCCGTGCAACAGAGATGACAGTGCCCCTCTAAGAACGAACAGTGCCTATTGGGGATTCCGCAAGTCAGGCACTCTGCATGTAGTTAGCATACAATAGGTGCTCAATAAATAGGCTGCGCAGGCAAACTAAAAAGTGATCCGAATTTCCTTGAACTGTCCAAGCGCTCATGTATTCATTAAATGTTTTTAAGCTTTTTTGTGCTAGACACTGTTCCAGCCATGTGAAATACATCAGTGGGGGGAGACTAAGACGAAGGCGAGATCAAGGGAGGTTTGGTGGAAGTGGCCACAAGGTTTGCAGAGCAACGTCCTCGAAAACGGGATCGGCGCCTGGTCCCGAATTTCACACGGGGCACACTGAGCCTGCGCAACGCCTCCGCTTCCGGCCCCCAACCGCGGCGCGTGCGCGCTGGGCTCCGGCGGTCAGCCCGGCCGGCCTCCGAGCTTACCTCTTGCTGAGCCAGCAGCGCCCTCCGCTCACGCTCCTTCTCCTCCTCCCGGGCCTGGGCCTCGTCACGCCGCACGCGGGCGACATTGTCCTTGTTCCGGACGTGCCAGCTCTTCTTGGGCAAGATATTCATGGCGTCGTAGCTGTCCAGGGACTGGCACGCCCGCCTCTTTGCACTTCCGATTGGCGAGAGGATGCCCCCCTTTCTCTTGTCCCTACTTCGACCACAGATTGGTTCCGAATTAGTTGGTACGGCCCCCTGGCCTGTAACGACAGGTGATTGGCTGAGACGTCCTTTTCACAGCGAATGTTAGGCGTTCGGCTCGTGGTATCCCCTAGCAACCGCCTCTTATCACAGATCTGAACCAATCATAAGTTGGCCCACCCCTGATGGTACCAGATGCGGGCGTCGATTGGTCGACATGACCGTCACGTCTCCTTGCGGAAGTGCGCTCCGCACCGACAAACATGCCCATACATTTGATTGGCTCCTGCCCTGCGGTAGCCCTGCCCCCACCTTCAGGACGCAGATTTCAAAGCGCGCTCAGCAACCTCTGCTGTGTTTATTGATACAAGAAAGATCACCCGAGAGTCAGGGATGTGGCGGCGAGGGGCCCTGAAAATCTCCAGATACCAAAGCTGGAAGGGCGTGGAGTCTTCTCCAGTTCTCCTAGTTTACAGATGTTGTGACTTAGGCTTACAATGGGCCTGGGGTCTGAAAGTGGGATGTGAGCCGCGGGGGTCAAAGAGCCGGTTTGGTGGAGGTCAGCGCCACAGCGCGCCGTGCCAGGAAGACTTTATTCTGCGCCTCCTGGGGCAAAGAGAGGTGGAGGTGTGACAGCCCTCTTCCCCAGCCCCTTTCCGTGTTCCCCAGGGGCCCTCTCAGGGACCCGCCTGGCTCACCGTCTCTCTCTGACGTTTGAGCTCAGAGATGAGGCGTCCGTAGGAGTTAGCCCGAGCCACAGTGTACGCCATCAGGATGCTGGAGGAGACAGGAACGGAAGCCACTCCTGACACGCTCTTCGAAGTCAGGGATGTGGACCCCCAAGCCCCTCCTCGTCCAGGCCCAAGGCGTTCAGTCTCCCAGCACCTCCGCCTTCAGATCCAGGAGTCCAAGTCCCGCCCACCTCCTCCTTCGGACCCAGCAGTCCAGGAGCCTAGGCCTCCTCCCTCAGACTCAGTACATTGCCTGCTCCCACCCCCAAGCCTTTCCTCTCTTGGACGCAGGTGGTGGCCCCCAGATCACACGCATTCAAACCCAGACCCAGAAGTCTGGCCCACCTCACCTGGAGATCAGCAGAAGGGGCGTAGCAAAAGCCTGGGTCCCCAGGAAGAAGAGGAAGTTCTGGGTGGTCTCAGGGAGACTGGAAATAGACTCAGGGATCTGGGCCCAGATGGACGACTGCTCCCGGAATGGACCACACAGCTTAGAAGGCGGGATCCTGAAGTCAAGACAGGCTGGGCTCACGTAGAGCCAGGAGTCTGAACACTGAATGGGGTGAGAGGGAGGGAGAGAGGCGGGAACCTCTCGCACTTACAGGAAGATGCTGTAAAGCAGGGGAACGATGGAGATGGCCAGACCCAGGAGAAGAACCAAGGGGAAAAAGAAATTCGCCGTGGAGGCCCGGAAGGTGCGGGCAGCCGGAGAGCAGGTGGAGAAGAGGGTAAGCTGGTGGGGGTAAGGCACGGAGAAAGGGGATCTGAAACACAAGAGTCTGTGCCTTTTTTGTTTGTTTGTTTGAGACAGTCTGGCTCTGTCGCCCAGGCGGGAGTGCAGTGGCGCTCACTGCAGCCTCCCCTCCCGGGTTCAAGCTATTCTTGTGTCTCAGCCTCCCAAGTAGCTGGGATTACAGGTGTGCACCACCACTCCCGGCTAATTTGTTTCGCTGTTGTTGTTTGTTTTCTGTTTTTGAGACGGAGCCTCACTCTGTCGCCCAGGCCAGAGTGCAGTGGCGCGATCTAGGCTCACTGCGACCTTCACCTCCCTGGTTCAAGCAATTCCCCTGCCTCAGCTTCCCAAGTAGCTGGGATTACAGGCGCTCGCCACCAAGCCCGGCTAAATTTTTTTTGTATTTTTAGTAGAGACGGGGTTTTGCCATGTTAGCCAGGCTGGTCTCAAACTCCTGACCTCAGGTGATCAACCCGCCTCAGTCTCCCAAAGTACTGGGATTACAGGCGTGAGCCACCGCGCCCGGCCTACCCGCCTCTCCTTTTTCCCGAACCAGGAGTCTGAGCCCCTTCCTTATCTAGGACCCCAGAGTCTAAGTCCCCGGATCCTCAGACATAGAAGTCAGAATGCCCTAGACTCCTCCTTCTCTCAGATCCAGGAGTCTGTCCTCCAACCCCCTCCTCTCTTAGGACCTAGCAATCCAGGACCCCGTGATCTTCCTTGCCCAGGACCCAGGAGTGCGGGCCCCAATACCTCCTGCCTCAGACCCAAGAGTCCCCCCCTACCCCTTACCTTCTTCAGGTAGAAAAGCAGCAGGAACTTGACCGTGTTAAGCAGGGGCAGCAAAGGGCAGAAAAAACTCCCCACCCAGACCACCGTCTGCGCGTAGATGAGCCCCAGCACCTCGTTGGGCACCTGGAACTCCTGGGTCCCCGCCAGACGACCCAGCGCCCCAGGACAGAGGCCACAGAGGAGCCTGAAGGACGGAGCGGGGGCGGGGCCGGGCCCGAGTCAGGGGCGCGGCTACTTGGAGTTTCCCCGCCTCCACCGCCCTGTCCGCCAATAGGAAGCAAGCGTATCTGAGGGGGGGCGGGACTTTCAAGACTCCACGTGGAGGGGGTGTGTCCAGAGGACTAGACGGGACCCAGGTGTCGCGGCGGTAGGGGCGGGGCCACAGGGAAGTAACCCACTAAAACAAGGGCGGGGAGTGGGGGAGATCTGCGGACCTAGGGCAAGCAAAGGGAGCCGGCAGAGGCGGGAACAGTAAAAAGGTGCGCGGTGAAAAGAACAGCGCGATGGGGCAGGGCCTGGTCCTACAGGGGCGGGGCCACAGCGAGGGGCGGGGCTCTCACTTTCTAGGAAACTGGATGAGCAGCGCGACTGCCAAGGCAGTCAGCAGATCAAAGAGCAGAAGTTTGTACATTTCCTGGCCCAGGACAGTCTCCCAGCACTGAAGAAGGAAGAAATAGGTCAGAAAGACCTCAGGACCCGAGCACCTGGAGGCCCACGCGTCCGAGTCTCCACATCGAAAGCCTATGAGACCCTGTCAATACTTTCTCTGGGGGTCCTCGTTTTTCAAACATTCATACCCATGGGGGAGTGTTCCAGCATCCCGAGCTCCCCTCTCCGCCCAAACCGAGTCTGGACCCACCTAGCTCCATCTTTCCTTCAGGGACCCAGGAATCCCAGGCAGACCCCATGCCGTTCTCACCGGAAGTTCTTTGTAATTGTAGCCACAGGTTTTGCAGTCCTTAGCCTCGGAGTCGCCCCCACAAGTGATCTGTTTCCAGAGAGAGAAGAGCAGGACCACCAGGGAGGCCAGACGAAGAAACACGGTCCTGGCGGGGGGAAGGCAGAGAATGGGCCCTTATCCGGTACCCACCACGTGGCAGTCCCCTTCTCAGTGGAACGCGCTCGCATTCAACCCATCTCACAGATGAAGAAGCAGAGGCCCAGCGACAGAGTCAGGATTTCTTTCTTCTTTCTTTCTTTCTTTCTTTCTTTTTTTTTTTTTGAGACAGAGTCTCACTTGTCGTACAAACTGGAGTGCAATGGCGCGATCTCAGCTCACTGCATCCTCTACCTCCCAGGCTCAAGCGATTCCTCTGCCTCAGCCTCCCGAGTAGCTGGGACTACAGAGCACTATCGCCGGCTAACTTTGTATTTTTACTAGAGACAGGGTTTCACCATGTTTGTCAGGCTGGTGTCGAACTCCTAACCTCAGCCTCGGCCTCTCAAAGTGCTGGGATTACAGGTGTGAGCCACCGCGCCTGGCCAGCGGAGTCAGGATATGAATCCCTGGATCCGATATCAGCAGGATTTCCGTGTCTTACCTGTCAGCGCCAACATTCCTCTGACCGCCCGACCCTCCATCATTCCCAGCCATCCCCATGAGGCTGGAACCTGAGCAGGATAAAAACGATCTGGCGAATTCTAGTGTAGCCTTCCAGTGGAGCAATGAGCTTGAACACCGGCGGCAGCACAAAGTTGACCCCAGCAATGAAGATGGACGGAAGGTAATTCACCCTAAACTTCAGCAGTGGCAACTCCTGAACAAGGGGCGTCTCCTGGGAGAGGGAGTGGACATGAGTAGAGGCTTGGGGTCCTGGAGGAAGCCAAGCTTAAGGTCCTCCCCAGACCTCTTCTTTGTTGTTTGTTTTGTTTTTGTTTTGTTTGTTTCTTTGTATTGTTTGAGACAGCCTCTGGCTCTGTCGCCCAGGCTGGAGTGCAGTGGTGCAATCTTGGCTCACTGCAACCTCCGCCTCCCGGGTTCAAGTGATTCTTCTGCCTCAGCCTCCTGAGTAGCTGGGATTACAGGCGTGCACCACCACGCCCGTCTAATTTTTGTATTTTTAGTGGAGACGGATTTTCGCCATGTTGGTCAGGCTGATCTCGAACTCCTGACCTTGTGATCACCCCACCTCAGCCTCGCAAAGTCCTGGGATTACAGGCGTGAGCCACCGCGCCCAGTCTCTCTTCTTCCTTTAAAACCCCGAAGTCCAGGGTCCAAACATACCCTCTCGCATACTTCCTCTGTAAGATCTCTGGTATCCCAAACTTCCGTTCCCTCCCTCCATCGTTGGAAATGTAGGTTTCAGGACCCCCCGGCTTCCTCTTCCAAGACCCTCCGCACCTGCAGCGCCATGGTGTTCTCTGTAGCCCAGTAGATGCCATAGAAGGCTCCCCCAAGGAGTGCGATCACCAGCAGGTTGAGCAGCACCCGCACCAACCAAACCCTGGCTTCCTGGCCCAGAGTCCGCACAGCAGCCTGGCGCCGCACCACTGTCTCCTCCAGCTCCACCTGAAGGCAAGGCACGAGAGATGCCCGCTTGGACTCCATTTCCCAAGGCGCTGGCCTCTGGGTTCCCCAGGCTCTCCAGAGATCCTCCTCAACGTGAACTGATGCAGCCGTCTCCCCACCCGCTAACAACCTCTGCAGTCCCGGTTTCACCCGCTCCGGGGCGCTCTAAGAAACCAGTGGCCCTTTACAGCCCTGCCCCTCCGCGGCCGGATCCAGCAACCCCAGCCCCCATCCCTACGCGGCCAATCTCAGCACCCCGGGCCCCGCCCCCGAAGCTCCGCCCAACACCCCCAAGACCCGCCCCTGGTCAGCCCCGCCCATCAGAGGCTCCGCCCCCAGGCGGCCCTGCGCTTTATGCCTGGCCTGAAGTTCCAGTTCATCTATATCAAGACGCCCCGCTGGCCGCTCCCATCACTTAACTTTGAACCAAATTGCCTTAAAGCCCCGCCCGCTTCTTGTGCTTGCTTTTTTTGGTAGAGAGGGAGCCTCCCTATGTTGCCCAGGCTGGTCTCGAACTCCTAGACTCAAGCGATCCACCTGCCTCGGTCTCCCAAAGTGCTGGGGTTACAAGCATGAGCCACCGATCCCAGCCTTGGCGCATCCTTTTCCTACACCCTTGGATCTCGGGCAGCCCTATCGCGGCGGCCTCTCAACCCTCTCATTCCCCAGGACTGGCCTTTCTTGGAGAAGGAGCTGCCTAGCGTCTCTCCGGAGGCCCCATTACCGGGTTAGGCCCTGTGCGTTATCTCAGCCCGGTTCAGTCTAGTCCCTACCCCGTTGCAGACCCCGCCCCCTAATCGCACCTGTAATTCGTACAAGATGATGCGCTGGCGCAGCCGCACGTGGACGTCCCCGCAGAGGCCGAAGTTCCAGGCTGAGAACACCCGGTGGCTGTAGCTGGTCAGATCCCCGGACTCCGCCAGCAGTGTCTGCTTCAGCCCGGACACCGAGCTGAGAGGGGAGACAGGATGTGAAAGGACAGCCAGGAACGGGGGTTAGGGGGGCATCCTTCATATTGGGACCAACGGGGAAGACGAACCCTAAGGCCTTGGGTACTAGGGGAGCTGCCACCAGATGGGGAAAGAGTCAAAGAGGCGGAAACACCTACAATCATTGAAGGCAAAGTCCAAGGGAGATTCAGAGACAGACCTGGGGCACAGGCACCCCACAGAGACAGGCAGAAACCTGGGAGACAGGGGCAGAGCCCCGGAGCGAAGGGGGCAGAAACCCAGAGTGAAAGGGACAGAGGCCCTGAGCGCACAGGGCGCTGTCATGCTGTGTCGCTTGCCCTAGCTGGAGTTTATCTGGGCCTCACTTTATATACACAATCGTCCTCAGTATCCATGGGGGTTGGTTCAAGGACTCCCCAAGGATACCAAATCTGCAGATGCCCAAATTTCTATATAAAATGGCATAGTATTTGCACACAGGCTACACATATCCTCCTGTGGTTTTTTTAAATTTTTTTATTTTATCTGATTTTTCAGAGACAGCGTCTCGTTTTGTTGTCCAGGCTGGAGTGCAGTGGTGCAATCATAGCTCAATGCAGCCTCAAATTTCCAGGCTCCAGCCTCAAAATTCCAGGCTCCACACCTGTGCTGGGGCTACCGTGTGGGCCACTACACCCATCCTCCAATGCACTTTAAATCACCTCTAGATTACTTCAATACTTCATACAAGGTAAATGTTATATAGATAGCTGTTCTTTAATTTGTATTTTTTGTCATATTTGTTACTTTATTACTTTTTTTTTCTTTTCTTTATC